TGGTAGTGCACAGGGGAACAGGGACTTCCCCAATGCCTGCTGGTCCCCTCTGACTAGTTTGTAAATGGCCACTAGATCCCCCCTCAGCCTTCTCTTGTGGAGACTGAACAGGTTCAGGGCCCGTAGCCTCTCTTTGTAGTGTCTGCCCTGCTGCCCCCTGATCATGCGAGTGGCCCTCCTCTGGACCCTCTCCATGTTGTCCACATCCCTCTTGAAGTGCGGCACCCAGAACTGGATGCAGTACTCCAGCTGCAGCCTGACCAGTGCTGCATAGAGGGCATGACAAGGTGCGGTTGACAGTGCATGACAAGGTGTGGTTGGCCTTCCTGACTGCATCCCCACACTGCCGGCCCATGTTCATCTTGGCATCCATGATTATCCTAGCCCTTCAATAACTTATCCCAGATTCTTTAATATTCATAAAACCAATGGTCCATCTAGCCTAGTATCCTGTCTCCAGCAGTGGCAGGGGTGGAAGCTTTAGAAGGAGAGCATTGAACTGAATGGGCACCTATACACAAGTGTGGAGCCTGCTCCAACACACTGGAATTCCAGAGCATTGGAAATTGGATCGGTCAAGTTTCCTAGAGTGTGGCAATTGCCATGCCATGCTCCAGCAGCCTCCTACATCTCATGTATCAGCCTCCCGGCACTTAAAAATGGTGGCAGGGGTGCTTGGACTAAAGCTCATTGAATACCCCCACTGCAATTTTAAAGCATGGGGATGCTGATACAGGAGACACGGCACTGCTTTAATTAGAGCAGCTCTCGGAGCCTCCTAAATAAAGCGTGGACCCCCTCCCACCCCTAGAGTATGTGTAAAAGTGCCCAATATTTCTAGAGTGATCTATCTCCTATTCATTACTAGGGGTGCACCAATAGAGATTTTTTTGGACAATACCGATAGCCGATTTTTAATGAGCCATGTTGGCCAATACTGATCCAATCACTGATATGCAACACAACAGCATGGAGAGTGATGACTGGCTGGTAAGTCTGTTGTGGCAGAGGGGGTGGGGGGAAGGAAAAGGTGTGTAGGGGGGCAGATTGAGGCCCCTGCAGTGACAGAGGGAGTAGGGCTGGGCCTGAGGCAGGGGAAAATGCTGCCCAGCTGTGGCAGGGCACAGGACAGAGCTGCAGCTCATCTGGGTGGTGCAAGGAAGGGGTGGCAGCTCCTGCTGCTGCATGCATCCCAGGAGGACATGGAGGGGTGTTCCCTTGGATCTGCATGCAGGGTGAGAACAGGCTGCCACTGAAGGCTGGGGCCAGGGGCAGCACCCAGCTTTTCCCAGCAGTGGGCTGGGTTGGCCTTCACTCAGAGTGGGCGGCAGTGGCACTGGGAGGGGCCTACAGGGGGGCTGCAGTCAACCCAAAATTCACTGTAGCCTCCCCAACCCCCACTCCCAGTGCCACTGCCACCTGCTGCAAGCACAGCCCAGCCCAGCCTCCTACTGGGAAGAGCCTGGCACAGCTCCAGCCTGCAGTGGCAGCCCACCCTTGCCCTAAGCAGATATCTGGGTTCACATGCCCCCCATGCCCTCCTGGGATGCCTGCAGCAGGAGCCACCCCCTTCTTCCCGTACCCCCCGGACAAGCTGTGGCTGTGTCCCATGCCCCACCCCAGCTGGACAATGCCTGCCCCTGCCCCAGCCCCACTCCCTACGTCACTGCAAGAGCCTCTGTCACCCCTGCACACATCCCTTCCCTCCTCCCATGCCCTTTCCCTCACGACAGACTTACCAGCCAGACCCGGCTGCTCTCCACACTGCGGGGCTATGTTCTTGGATATCTGAGTGCTGCACTGCTGCTGCGCACACGCATGCAGCATTTATCAGCCACATTATCAGCCACATCAGCCAAAAAAGCCGATTGCCAACACAGTCAACTTCCCTTATAATGGTACCAATCTGATATGGGACTGATGTATCGGTACACCTCTATTCATTACCCTTCCTGACATCCACAATTACTGGTTTAGAGATGCCAGAGGAAGCTTCAACTGTTATAGTTTCATAGTTTCATAGTTTCTAGGGTCGGAAGGGACCTGAGCAGATCATCTAGTCTGACCCCCTCCCATGGCAGGAAGAGCACTGGGGTCAAATGACCCTAATAAGGTGGTCACCCAACCTCCTCTTAAAAACCCCCAGGGTGGGAGCCTGCACCACCTCACATGGAAGCTGGTTCCAGACCCTAGCCGCCCTCACCGTGAAGTAGCGCCTCCTGATGTCCAACTTAAACCTTCCCTCTGCCAGCTTGTGACCATTGTTCCTGGTCACTCCTTGCGGCGCTCGGGGGAACAGGGACTCCCCCAGCGCCTGCTGATCCCCCCTAACCAGTTTATAACAGGCCACAAGATCCCCCCTCAGCCTTCTCTTTTGAAGGCTGAACAGGTTCAGGTCCCGCAACCTTTCCTCATAGGACCTACCCTGCTGTCCCTTGATCATACGAGTGGCCCTCCTCTGGACCCTCTCGATGCTGTCCACATCCCTCTTAAAGTGCGGCGCCCAGAACTGGACGCAGTACTCCAGCTGCGGCCTGACCAGTGCCGCATAGAGGGGGAGGATCACCTCCTTGGACCTGCTTGAGATGCATCTGTGGATGCACGACAAGGTGCAGTTGGCCTTCCTAGCCGCCTCCCCACATTGCCGACTCATGTTCATCTTGGAGTCAATAATGACTCCCAGATCCTTTTCCACCTCCGTGCTGACAAGAGGGGAGTTCCCCAGCCTGTATGTATGGTGCCGATTGTTCCTCCCCAGGTGCATCACCTTACACTTGTCTGTGTTAAACCCCATCCTGTTCTCCTCTACCCATCCTTGTAACCTGTCTAGGTCCAACTGTAGCCTGTTGCTCCCCTCTAATGTGCCCACATCCCCCCACATCTTAGTGTCATCAGCAAACTTGAACAGGGTGCTTTGCACCCCCTCATCCAAATCACTCATCCAAATCACTTATGTTCAATAGCTATTCATAAATCAATCATCCATGAATTTATTTAGCACTTCTTTGAACCTGGCTATGCTATCTGTGCCTATCACCTCCCATGGCAACAAATCTCATGCACTGCATTGCATAAAAAAATACTTTCTCTTGGTAGTTTTAACATGTCTACTATTCTTTTCAGTAGGTTTCCCTAGTTCTGGTGTTTTGGGACTTGATGAGTGACAGCTTCTTTTTCACTTTGTCCATACCCTTCATGATTTTGTAGACTTCTGTCATATTCCTCCTCAGCCTTCTCCTTTCCAAAATGAAGAGTCCCAGCCTTTTTATCCTCTCCTCATATGGCAACTGCTTCATACCTCTAGTTATTTTGGTAGCTTTTCTCTGTACCTTTGCTAATTCTACTACATCCTTTTGGAGATGGAAACTAGAACTACACACTATGCATCTGTATAATGGTATGATGATGTTCCCCATTTTGTTTTCAGTTCTTCTTAACAGTGCCCATAAGTTTATTGGATTTTTTTTAGTTGCCACTGCACATTGCACTGATGTTTTTAGAGCACTGTCTACAATTCTTCCATAAATTTGGTCCTCTCTACTTTTCACTTGGTTTGGGCTGCAGAGCTCGTCTCATGGTCTTTGAACAATGCTCTGGGAGGTCTGTGTGTGGTGGGGGGGG